TTTTATGTAAGAACACAGGAGTGTGGAGCAGGATTCTCTTCAAGCTTGAACTGCCGTTCAATTTGATCATATCTGATCACATATCTCTTTCTTACTTGCTCACTCTATCTCCATATTCTTTGATTCCCTTAATCTCTAAAAATGTTTCCATGACTTGTCTTGAAAGCACTCAATGATTTGCTCTCTGACAAAGAAGATTCCAATGAAATGTTTCACTCTTAAATGGCTGACCACTTATCTTGAAATTATGGCTCCTAGTTCTAGACAGTACAGAGAGGGAAAGCACCTTTCAATTTCAACTGTCAAACCCTCTAAAAATGCTGCATGTTTGTATGAGATCACTCTCAAGCTTTTGAACACCAGAGAATTTAGTCCTATTCTGCTTAATCTGTCTTCATAGAAAGAAAATGTACATTGATAAATTGCCTTTCACAACACCAGAACATTCCAAAGAATGTGACAACTAATGAAGTACTTTTGAAGTACTTCACTGTTGTAATGTAGAAAATGATGCAAGCAATTGTACACTGTGAGATCCCACAAATAGTAGTAACCCTATAATCTGTTTTGTGATGTTGACTGAAGGACAAATATTGGCCAGAATATTATGGATGATTTCATATCCTTTGAAACCATGCCATGGAATCTTCTACTTACACCTGAAAGAACTGATAAGAATGGGTTTAACATCTCATCTGCCAGATGGCACCTCCATCAGCATAGGATCTCCTCAGTACTGCACATGGAGTATCAGTCTAGACTTCTGTCTCTGGACTGAGAACTGGAACACAACTATCTGACGATGAAGCGAAAATACTACCTATTGAACTGTTGCTGAAAACCCTCTCATCCCGAGCGTCAAAAGTATCATTTAAAATTTCACGGCAAAATGTAGAGCAATTTGGGAAGTTGGGCTGGCTTAAAGAAAAGTTTCTCTCCAGTACAGCTTGAGGAACTGGGAGATAGGCCCCACAGTGCCATCCCTGGGGATAAGGTGCAATTAGAGTGTAATATGTTTTCATAGACATGTTTCCATTTTATATATATATATAAAATATGGGCATATTAATTATAATTGTGAAAAGCTGACGTAGAAGTAAGATTACTAAATGTTTTGATCAGGGAAGGGTGCCAGCTATAAGTTTAAAAAGATGTGATGTTAGCCTGGGCAGAATGGATTCTTATGTGGCAAAAAACATTTGCATTATCCAAATGCCAGGCAACAAACGAGAGAGTATTAACTATCTTCCCTTGACATTCATTTATGTTGCCACCACTAAATCCCTCACAATCAATACCCTGGAGATTGCTATTAACTAGAAACCAATCTGGGTGGACTACATAAATACTGTTGCTACAAAGCAGGTCAGAGGCTGGGAATTCTGCGGTAAGTAACATACCTCCAGTATTCCCAATGCTTGTCCACCATCTAAAAAGCACTCGACAGGAATGACATGGAATACCCTCCATTTGCCTCGAAAGTTCCAGGAGTTAAAGGAGAAGTTGTTCAAAGTGAGGACAAGCTCAGCCAAGTGGCAGAGGGTGGTGAATGGAGACAGTTCAGGTGTTTTTTCCAGGAAGAAGTGGATAGCTTGGGAACTCTGCAGCCTTCAGGGCTCAATATTGAGTTCAATAATTTTAGGGCGTGGGCACCTTCTTCCACGCTGTTTATCTACCCCACAGCCCAGGCCTTGTCATCACATGAGCTGCTTTCATCACAGCCAACCGATTTTCACCCACTGATGGTCCCCATTAGCAGTTTTTCTTTCTCACCGGCTCACCGGCGTCCAATCCTTTGTATGCCCAATTGCTGTTCTCTCTCTCCCTCTGGCCTCCATCTCCACCTATTATTCATTCCCTTCCCCTCCTTCTTCCTCCCCACTCCACTTCAGCATAAATACTACCTTTTCCTAGCTACAATCAATCAAGTCTGAAGAAGGATCACTGGACCCAAAATGCTAACTGTGCGTTCTTTCCACAGATGCTGCCGGACGTGTTGAGATTCTCCAGCAATTTCTGATTAATTGGCATCTCAATCTGTCACCTTAAACATTCACTTATTTCACTGTTAATGTACAGTTGTATAAGATGCACCGAAACCGCTCATCAAAGCTTCTTTGACAGCACCCTTCAAATCCTCAAAGTCTACTACCTAGAAGAATAAGAGCAGCAGATGCACGGAAACACCATCATCTGCATGTTCCCCTCTAAGCCACACACCATTCTAACTTGGAACCATATTACCATTCTTTCACTGTCACTTGGTGAAAATCCTGGAACTCCTTCCTAGCTGTACTGTGGAAGTACCTCTATCACTGACTACACCAGTTGAAAAAGGCAGCTTCTCAAGGGCAATAAACGTTGGCCCCATTAGTAAAGCCCACACCCTATGCAAGAATGAAAAAGGCAAAAGGGAGTAGTGTTAGAATACTAAAAGTTCTAACATCCATGTATTGCAAAACTTAGAGTACGGAATATGTGGAAGCTAAGAAGCAATTACTTCACAAGAAGATGATAATTGCTTCAACAAAAAATGTCTACAAACTGGACAGGAGTGGAAATAAACTTATAGGGCTATGACATTTATAGGAAGTACAACAACAATAAAAAGGAAAAGTGAATGATAAGATTGGAAAAGGAGGCAACTACAATAAGTTGTGTGTAATAAGTTGTCTATTTGGTCTCTTGGTTGGAGATGTTATCTTCTATAGAAAATCAAACTGGAGAGAAAATGTAAGGGCAAATTGGTGGATTTGAGCCCCTTTCTAGGATTTGAGCAAGAAATCCAAGTTGGAATTCCAGTGCAGAGTTGAGAGAACATGCAGAGTTGGATAATCTGTTAGGCTGAATATGGAGTTTAAGTGTAAAGGTGCAATTGTATAAAGCAATGACTACACTGCAGTCAAAGTATTGTACATCATTCTGAGTACCAGGTTATAGGAAGAATATTAACACCATAGACTGCGTGCACATAGATTCACCAGGATGCTACCAGAGATGAGAAAAGTGTATTTATGAGGAGAAATTTGAGAAACTGAGACCATTTCTAGTGTAACAGAGAGGGCCAAGAGGAGCTATATAGAATCACAGAATAGTTACAGCTTAGAAGGAAGCCACTTTATCTATCATGTCCATGCTGGCTGTCTACAGTATCATTTCATCTAGTTCCATTCTCTGTGTCTTTTCCCTTTAACCCTGCAGGTTTTTTTTATCTTTGTTGCCATTGTTTCCTTTGCCAATCACCTTAAATCAGTTTCCTCAGTTTCTTGATCTTGCTGCCAAAGGGAACACTTACTTTCTTCCTATTGACTCTGTTCAGGCCCCTCATGATTTTGAAAACCCAAGGTCCTGTATGACTTATCAATCACATTCTCAATGTGTCCTGCCATCTTCGATGATTTGTGTGGATATACCTCCATGTCTCTATACCCCCAGCAGAATTGTGATCTTTTGTTCATGGTGCCTCTGTTTGTCCTTTCCACTCAAATGAATCCCTTCTTACTTTTCTACATAAAATTTCTTGTATCACTCGTCCATTGACCTATCTGTCCTCTTAAAGTTCATCACGAATCACATCATAATTCACAACACTTTGAAGTTCTGTGTCATCTGTAAATTTTGAAAATTAATGGAAGATCTTTAAAATCATGAAGCAATTTTAATATCATTAAAATTTTTGATAGTGTGAACAGGGCATGAATATTTCCTTTGGCTATGGACTCACTAATAAGAGGTTATCAATTTAAATATGGAACTTAGAGGTTAAGTGATACAATAGTGAAATGTCTTTATGCTTGTTACAGCTGAAAGGGAAAGGGTGAGATCGAGACAAAAGTGGAGAGGTGAAAGTGGATAAATATTAGAAGCAGAGGAACATACAGAGTTATGCCGAGAACATGGTGAATGTGCTTAGAACTGACTGTAAAAAGCCTGAATAAACACGATGAACCATTCTGGTCCCCAATCCAAAATCTTTTGACATTGGTTGAACAACAGTAATGTATTCTTCTGGTGTCCTGGCCAACATTTATATCTCAATTAGCACCTCAAAAACAGATTGACAATTCAATTATCTAATTACTGTATGTGGAACATTGGTGGTACAAAATGGCTACAAAATAATACTTAAAATACTATTCTTATTTATTTTTGTTCCACAACAAATTCAACTTGCTTTGAATTTGAAGATTGGAGTATGAAGATATTGATGTCAGGAGATCCCTAGAGACCCACAAGATAAAACATCAAGGGGTCTACAGGCATAATCTAGAAATAGTGAGATGTACGCCTTGGGAGAAAGTGTAAGGGCAAATTTGTGGGTTCAGATCCAACGTAAGATTTAAATGTTGAAATGCTGGTGCAGTACTGAAAAAATGCTGTCTGCTATAGATGGAAAAGATGTTAAACGGAGTATGGACTTTAGGAGTAAAGATAATGTATTACAAAATAATAGTTAGTACACTGTTACTGTTCTCTGCAGTTTTAAGAACCATACTTTATAAAGCAAGTTTAAAGTGACAGAAATGAAAACAGACAGTGCAGGAGAAACTCGGCAGGTCTGGCAGCTGCTTTAGAAAGAGAACCAAAGTTAATATTTCAAGCCTGGTACAACTTTTTTGGCAGCAGAAGCGTCATATCAGACTTGAAATATTAATTCTGTTTCTCTCTTCACTGATGCTGCCAGGTATACTGAGCTTATCCAGCGCTTTCTGCCTTTATTTCAGATCTCCAGTATCGGCAGTACTTTTCTTTATTTAAAGTGATAGAGACTGGACAATGTAGAATCGCCAGTTTGTTACCAGGCATGGGAAACTAGTTATGATACACATTTGGGAGGAGCAGAGTCAGTATTATCTTATATACAGGTATGGAAGAGAAAAGAAGACACCAGACAAAGAAGTGATGAAATAGAAACTGTTTAGTCAAATGGTTTGATGAACAGTACAAATAATGAACTAACATTTGTCGACTGTTCCAACAAAACAGCATAGATGCCTCCAATAAGTAGCTGTGTAGATGAATGTACAAATTAAAACAAAGTTACAGAGCACTTCTTTTCAATTGGTCGTGTTGAGGTAGTCTGGTTGACTGATGTAAAAGATGTGCAAACTTAACAATGGTGGAACCCAAACTGTGTCAATGCAGTTGAATTATTTACATGATTATATATTAAAACTATGTACATGTGTTCTATTTACAGGACAGGTGGCTGAGCTTTGGGAGGATCCATCATTCAAGTGGTCTCCCACTGGGTTGCACTGTGCATTTGGCAGTACTTCAGTCACAGGAGAGGATGCTGCTGGCAGCACCACCCCAGTCGACTGGGCTTCAGGGGACTTGAGAGAGCTTTGAACAGCAACATCACGGAGCTGAGGGGTAGAGGCCTGGTGGTCTCGCACCAGGGTCCTGAGCAGGCTGACCAGACAGCCAACTTGCTCTGTGAATTGTGCCCAACCAAACTGCATTATAGTATGCGATCTTGTCATGTCACTGTGCATCTGGGTATATCCAGTCTGCACAGTGATGTGGAAGTTCTGCACTGCCTCATGAAGGAGGTGAATGGTCTGTTCCAGCATCTGTTGGGTGTGTGCAGGAGGTGCTTCAGGGACAGCATCTCTCAACTGTGGCTGGCGTGTCCCTTGATCTTCCGCGGTGGACCCTCCGGCTTGCATTGTACAATCCAGGAGAGGTCCCTTGGAAGCTCCAGCCACAGGAGTCAGGTCCTCCTGCCATTCCACAGTACAGCCTGAGGTGTGGTGTTCTGATTCTGGGTCTTGTGGCATTGTGGCACTTTCCTCACGGTCAGACTTATCATCGTTTTCCTCAGAAGCATCGTCATCTTTGAAAATGTTGATGAGTCCTTCAAGTGACTCAGTGCTGGTTGATGTGAGAGACTCATCTGTGAAGACATAAGAGGTTGCTTTTAATGTTTGGTTTGGGGTTACGTAGCAAGTTGAGATTTTGTTTTCACAATCAGACTGTTGCAGACGACAGAGTACCACTGACGCTTCTCCAATTCTGTTTCCCTCTCCACTCCTCTCCTGAAAGCAGTGACTCCAGCCAGGCAGCGGTCCAATGGGCACCATTATCCCTTTGGCCACCTGCCCACCAAACTATCTTCCACACGCAAGTCTAGGCTGTAAGATTTGGTAGGCAATCTGACCAAAAGAAATATCATAGTCAAGCCCAAATCTGTCCTCAGCCCCACATCCACACATGCACGCACGCGTGCGCACACACACACATGCACACACACACACACATACAGACATACACAGACACACACACGCACACACTGCCTAGCAGGAGTCACTGAATGTCGATCAGGAGTGGGAACCATGGCTGATTTTTGTCTTTTTTAAATCCCTCCCTAGACCAGGGACACTAAGGCCAATCATAGTGCCCTCCACCCCCAGCTCCCCCTAGCTGCCCCTGGCTGAGATCAGCTAACTCAGCACAGACCAAGGGTCAAACCTGGGACCTTCCAGGCCTGTATGGCTCAGTACCACACGAGGAGGTGTGCTCAACAACTGAACCATCAGGACAGCATAAAAGTGCCACTTAACAAAGAACTTACTGCAGGCACAGCAAACGATTATGTAGTCGGGGCGTTACATCTAAGGATCTACAAGACCCTATGGAATCATTGCTAGCATGCATATTAGCGATGACTAATGGATAGGGCTATGGTGTTAGTATTTATTTATTTCTAACTAAAACAGACAGCAGACATTATTTACATGACTTACCAGATTCAGTGATGGGCTCTGGCGTAGTGGCGGTCTCATCGGTGCCTTGCTGGTTGAAAGTTGAACTAGCGGTTTCTCGATTCAAGGGAGATATTTCGCTAGGTGCCCTGCTGTCCTGTGCAGTTGGTTTGCGTTTCCTAGTGTGTTGCTGCTTAGCCTCGCAACCCCTTTTTGTTTTTTTTAAAAGTTCATTATCTCGTTTGCGACAGCCGTTTGCAGTTTGGGGCACTTTTTTTGCTCAAATTTATTAACTCTCCTGTCAGTGACGGCTCAGTGGCCTCTTGATGGTCCTCTGTTGTCGTTAACACAGTCTTGGTGTCAAAAAAATGCATGCTTCATTTTTTTTTTGTACAGTGTAAACCAGCAATGACAAAGCTCCATTTCACCAAAACCGCGGTCTTCTGGATCGCAACTCTCCCATCATTTTTAACTTTTATTCTTGCTTTAGTGAGCTGATTTCATAATTTAACTGACATGTTAAGTGTGAAATATTTACATCTGACTAGACAGTTTAATTTAGTTTTAAGCTCACTCAGACCTGGGGATAGAAGTAACCTTTCCAAAAGCCTTGAAATTTAACTGATCAAAAATAACACTGAACCCCATCGTTCCAATCATCATTCATGTCTATAGATAACACCATGTTTTCATCATTCTAATCTGTTACCATATATCTCTCTCCTTGTTCAGTGCTTCAACAGTCAAAACGCTCCAGTTGATTATTCCAGTAGATTAACAAGTCAGCAAGTTTGATTGGTTCTTACTCCTTGTAGGCAGGTTCTTCTATTTCCTTCATGCTTATACAAAGACCTTTGCCAAAGCCACCTGTACTATAGCTATCTGTACTATCAACTGGTAGCATTTCCAAAATCAGTGCCTACCCCAGCAACTAGAAGGATGCATGGGAACATCAACAAAGCACAAACCATTTTGACTTGACCATATCACCAATCCTTTGTGGCTGCTCTATAAAAATGTTGGAAAACCCTAATACGAGAGTATTATGAGAGCTTCTTTACCACGTAGTCTGAAGCGGTTCAGGAAGATGTTTCACCACCATCATCTTGAGCCACTGGCAATATGTTACACAGACTCAGGGACAGAGGCCACAGGACCTGGTGCTGCTCATGGCCCCTACCTGAGCACAGGGAGCTTGGGGCTTTGATCAATGGTCTCTGATATACCCCCATGTCCTGGGCCCTGACGGAGCACCTTTGCCACCCTAATAAGGAATTACAAAAATATACCAATTCCTTCAGTACTTTTTCTGTCTTATAAAACAAACATCTTGCCAACTCTTAGCCTATTTTTCTGCTCTGAGGGAAATTTAACTGCATTAACCTCTCATTGTAAACTCATGACTAAAGAGTCTACACAGTTATTTGTCTCCAGTAAATCACCTCCAATGTTCTTTCACATGAGTATAGGATAAAACTGAACATGAGAGGGTAAACAGATTTATACAAAATTTATAATACAGTACATTTGACCTAACTGATTACACCCATGATAATACTCCACAAAAGCCTCTTCCTGTGCACTTTGCTCAGCTCATTTAGGCATTTTCTCTTTTTTTTTCACCTTCACATGTTTGTCCAGCTTTTTAAATGCATCAAGACATTCACTTTAGATCTTTCATAGGGTAGTGAGTTTCATATTCTCACTGCTCCCTGTTTGAAGAAGTTCTCAATTGCTTATTGACTATCTTATATTTGCAGCGCCTAGTTTTAGTCTCCTCAAGAACATGTCCCCCTGTTTGCCCTATCAAACCCTTTCACAATCTTAAAGATCTTTAACAGGTCAGCTCTAATTCTTACCTTTTCTGGAAGAGACACATAGATAGGGAATAGAGGGATACAGACCATGTGGGATAAGTTTAGAATGGCATCTTGAGTGGCACAGACATAGTGGGCCAAAGGGCCTGTTCTTGCACTGCAGTGTTATATGTAAGAGAACTCCAGCTTGCTCAGTCTTTCTTGACCAGTATAACCTCACAGTTTGGTATCATCTGTAAAAGTTTTTTTTGCACCTTCTACAATGTCACAACATTCTTTTTAAAACATGGAAACCAGAACTATGCAAGTTTCGCCAAGTGTGGCCCAACGAAAGTACTGTATAAGTTTAATAAAACTCTGGTTTTCAATGCAATCCCATTAACCCAAGTGTTTTGTTTTTAAAGATCTTATCAATCTGCATCAGTACTTTTAGTGATTTGGGTGAGACTTACTGGATGCACCATGGATTAGAGGTAGGGTTATAAGTCTTCAGTCCACTTATATCACTTGTCAGTGTAACTTCATTGTCTTGTGCTCTGTGGACATACTCATACAACCTCTCATTTTGATTTCAACTACTACTGTCCCAAATGATAATGTGATATGAATTTTAAGTCCAGGTTTCAGTGCAGAAAATTTACAGAACCAAAGTCAGAGTGGGTAGGCAGAAAATTGTCACGTGAACCACGAAATGTAGAGAATGTAACGTGGAGTAAGGATAAAGGAAGATGGCAGAGGGAACATTGAGCAAAAGGACCTTTATTCTGTACCTAACTTGGAAGACATGCTAGATTAGTGTGTAGTTTTTACTTCTTATTTTGACTAATTCTTTCTTATTACTGCCAGCTTTCAAACATCTTCCCTTCTCTAACTTCTCTTCCTTCTTCAATGTGCACATTTAAAGCCCAATTATTACCTAACCAGTTTTTGGGTTGTTCTAATCCCTTCCTTTGTTTTAACTTTGGAAATGTCCTGTCTTGACATATCACTTGGGCTTGTCAATTATAGAAAAAAATCGAAAGGGATGTTGTGAAACTTGAAAGGCTTCAGAAAAGATTTACAAGGATGTTGCCAGGGTTGGAGTGTTTAATCTATAGGGAGAGGCTGAATAGGCTGGGGTATTTTCCCTGGAGTGTCAGAAGCTGAGGGGTGACCTTATAGAGGTTTATAAAATCATGAGGGGCATGGATATGGTGAATAGCCAAGGTCTTTTCCCTGTTTGGGGGTGTCAAAGCTAGAGACCATAGGTTTCAGGTGGGAGGGGAAAGATTTAAAAGGGACCTAAGAGTCAGCTTCTTCACGCATAGTATACATGTATAGAGTGATTGCCAGTGGAAGTGGTGGAGGCTGGTACAATTACAAAATTTAAAAGGCATCTGGATAGGTATATGAATAGCAAGACTTTAGAGGGACATGGGCCAAATGCTGGCAAATGGGACTAGATTAAGTTAGGATGTCTGGTCAGCATGGATGAGTTGGACCAAAGGGTCTGCTTCCATGCTGTACAGCTCTATGGCTCTATGACCCTATGACCCTATGGGCAAAACTTCCTTTGTGCAATTTCCAAAATCTACCATTTTCAAATCAGCAACCCTGATATTCTTTCTAACTGATACATATTGGAAACTGGGATGAATGCTGTCAATTGTTATACTTCATATCATCAGAATCTGCAAAATCAACAGTATTTTGATATATGGTTCCAAAAAGTCTTTAAACAAAGGAACCTTCATGTTCTCAATCTGAACAGAATTTCAACCATGGCCCACGAAAAAAAAATCTATCTTCAACACCAATCTGCAACCAAGTTCACTGATAAACTAAAAATATTATCATTCAATATGGTTTGAAAGGATGCTTGAGATCTAATGGAATGGGGGAAAAGGTGACGGATATATTAGCTAAGAGATAATTGGGGGGTATGAACTGGTTGTGCAGATAGGGGAAATTAGTAAGAGGGGCATGAGAGTTTTATGGAGTGTGGTCAACTGAAATAAAATTCTCATGAAAAGTGTGGACTCGTTCAGAAACATTAATTTTCTCATGTATAACATTGATAGGAGAAGGTTGTATCAAAAAGTAAATCAAATTCGGGGTATGATTACCCATTCTGCTTTCTAAAAATGAGCCTCATGACTTGTGGAAGAATGAAGTTTCAATGTGGTGTTTGGTTACTTCTTTACCAAAGAGGAAACAAGGAAACAAGACATGGCCTGAACACTTTGTTCCTGTAAGATGCATAAGAAGTATATGTTTTGATTTTGGAATTGGAATCTGATGATTCAAATATGGATTAAGGTTTGGACAAATTGTGAATGTTAATGGACAAAATTTACCAAAGGGATGATTTATTAACTGCTTCTAACGGGTGATCAGGTTATGACAAATTTAGAAAGACTGAGGAAAAGTACATAATGGAATGCAGTAGATTGAATTTCTGCAGGATTGCAGACAATCAGTGCTGGCATTCAAGATATTGGACTGCGCCAAAGTATCAGGTGTGAACAGACTTCTAATCCTGAGATAAATTAGTGACCGAACATACACTTTTAGAAAAAGTGTTGTGACCATTAAAAAGAATTCCTCAGGTCTTATTCAAAGTATCATTAATGCCTTGAACTTTCCTAAACAGTACAATACAGTATTCAAAACTTGACATGGAACCTAAGATTCAGAGGAAGGTGATAGGGATATGAATCAAAGAGAGTGCGCCTTGGATTTGTCAAAAGAAGGTTCAGCCCAGAGTCTTTCAATTGTGCAGTGTTGGACTGTGGATGCACATCCTCAGTGCATAGAATAGACAGACTAAAACGTTACTTTGATAATAAGGATCAGGACAAAGTTAAAAAAAATTGAGAGTTCGACCAATTTCAGATTTGGGAATGATAACTCACTAAAATCTTTGAAAAGGGTGGCCATTCTATGTAAAATAGACAGAAGGAATCATTTTATTGGTACAAATGTAATATACTGAGAAATACTATTGTTTTTAAGTAGACTATTAATGAAGTGAAACTGGATATAGAAAATGACAAAGTTATTGTATTTGAAAAATCTGTGAATTTGCAATTCACACAATTGGGACTCTGTTGTCTTCTTGTAAGGAAACATAATCTCTCCACGAAAAAAATTAAAGAAGTGTTATTGAGATTAGTGGGCAGAAAATTAGAAAAAAAGTTAATTGTGTTAAAATTACATTGGCAATTTGTCCATTCATCCTCAAAGTTTAAAAATTCCAGTAAAGGACGCAGGAATAACTAATATGAAGTGCGATAAGCTCATAGAAGAGATGAGTCAGATGTGAGATTTGTAAGAAATACTGAAGGATACATCATGATCTATAGAAAGTCTATCCTTAGCGAGAAATTTCAGTGAAGTAGTGATTATGGATTAAATGATATGGAACAAAAAATCATTTTCTATTTTGTAGATGTAGCAATGAGATTTTATCGGTCAACAATACATAGTAAAGGTAAGAACATAATTGTGGATAAGGTAATGGAGAAGTGGTTAGGGACTGGATTTGGCCCAGTGACACAATTTATCTCACTGATAATGGTGGTGGGGACTGGGGAGAATGTCCTAATGATTAATTTAAAGATATATGTGTGAATATGAATATAATAGT